ACTGCCACATTCCCCACTATCACTATTTTCCTATCAGCACAAACCGTAATTAATTGATTTCAACAATCACAAACACTACATATCCAAACTAATGACATGGCATAGCAATATCTACGATATCCTAAATCAGTCCCTAACAAACTTAGCGCGAGTCTGAAAGGCTGTTGGAAGCACAGAGTGCTCCATATTTTGTTTTTATCAATAAACCTTTTTTTTTTCATTTTCATTTTCTTTTTTCTATAAATTTATTAACTGCGTGCAAATTTGTGTTTCAGATTTGATTTATTTATGATATATATTTATAATTATGTAATAAAGTTATTAATATTATATTCGTAAACATTGGCTGGCTTACAAACCAGTCCCCAAACCAAACCATATCAATCAATTACAATTCATTAACATTACCAATATTAAAAACTATCGAAAATATTCAAGAAAGTATTCTCTAGCCAAAGGGCTCAACATTTAAATCTAAATCTTCAATATTGTCTGGTTTATATCGCAACTTGGGCCCTCTGTCCCCCCTTATCGAAATAACTGTTGTCTTTAATACCTCAAAGCGCAAGCGCTTTCTAAGATTATATGTAACTGAGTCTAAATAACGCTGACCCGTTGGAGATTCCATCTTTTGTGCAAGCTTTTTAATCAAGCGTTGCGCTTCGACTCCCATGCCTCCTGTTGTGGAGAAAACTAAAGGTGTAAAGGTAGCTTTTTCCACTTCTAGGACCCTTGCATTATATGCTCTTTTCTTCTCAGTCTCGTGAGCCAAATACATCATAGGAATTGGTTTAGCGGCGTTGGTTGGAGCAGGAGCGTGAAACACTCTTACATCAAAAAATGCTCTTTCCAACGCATTCCAAACTGATCTTGCTGATATATCTAGTCGGGCTTGATCTCCAGTTACTGTACCTCGTGGTAACTGCATGCCGCTGACTGGAAGAAGAGGGGGCTCTGTCTGAACGTCTTTGCATTTGACTGTCCGCATGATATTAGCTATTGTATCTCGAAGTGAGTTATGCCTCAAGGTCACATAACCCCCAAGTTTACACGTGAGGGCATGGTTTGCGGAGTAGGAATCACCACAATTACAAAGTTTTGGACAATCTTTCAGCTTCAGGTTATATCTTAAAGCTATAGCATCTGAAAACTGTTGCTTATTCAGGAGATAACCATAGCTTTTGAGTGGTAAGGTGGGGGTGATGCAACGACCATTAATGACCATTAATGACCATTAATGACCATTAATGACCATTAATGACAATGTCAGTTTTGCCAAAATTTCGAATACTGACATTAATGGTCATGTTTTTTTCCGCACTTCCTGGAACAAGAAGGACGGACACGAGGACCACTTAGAACCTACCTAAAGTTAACTAACAATAAGTAGACGGTACTTTACGTCTTGGAAGGGGATGAAAAGTTAATTTTACAACTTTCTCAAACACTGATATTACTACATATTACAACTAACCCAATTATACCATAACAACAACGTTCTCCCAATCTAAACTTATTATTGAACCATCCTGGGTCTTCACCCAACACTGGGAAGACATATCGTGCTCAATACAGATCGCCACCGCAGGTCTTCTCTCTCCCGACCGAGCATTTCCTTTTCTTTGTGATGCTTTAGATGTCTTAACAGATATAGAAAGCACTTTGCCCTGCACAACCGTGCGCCTTCTTTTTTCATCCTTGCCTGTTATGAGTATACCAGTTATTGTTCCACCAACTTGCACCTCTTGAGCGTTGCATAGCTCTGGTTCTGCTAAACCTTTACAGACTGGGCGATACACCCCAATACTTGTATCCAAGGCAAGACCAAAAAATCTTTTCCTTCGGCTTTTCGCACCAAAGTTGGTCTTGCCTTGGTTACAATATTTGGTCACGACCTTAGTGGAGCTATCAACCAGCTCTTCGTCCTCATAATCAGAAAAATTGTCTTCACTCTCATGGTCTGATTCATCATCTGATTGTTGTTCACTACCATATGAGAGTGGAAATTGGAGACTCCGCCGTCTTTCAGAAATAACATTTCCATTATCACCTGAAAGATACGAACTTCCATAACTAGAAGAGGAAACAAAGAGTTCCTCTCCAATCTTGGATCCTCTTTTTAAGCTTTGGATTATAAGGTTACTCATCTTGACCGAACCTCCAAAATCAACAGCAATCTTTTTCTCTGGATGTTTGCTCCACTCAGAACGAAAGAGTGTCTTCCCCCGGGTATGAGCGGTTTTATGAACACTTGTACCACATTCAACATCAAGCGTATTCTCCACCTCTAATAGTCAGTTGTAACGACCCATGGCTTCAGGGACTCTTGTAGAGTCGATTTGTGTGCGTCTACTGGAGTGCCGTCCAACCCTGATTCGAGCGAAGAGTTGTTCATTTTGATCAGACGATAAAAACCACGGTACTACTGGTGCTTTGGGGTGATTACAAATCAAGTCGACAAAATACAAGACAAGTCCGTTAGCTGCGGATATTAAGTCTTTGAAGCTTTCTCTAGTTATGAAGTTCTCGCTGGTATTTAATTTCTTCGAGTGTTCTCCCCACAGAGTGAAGAACGTGAAAACAGTCCACGCATTTTCAGCTCTTTCTGAAACAGTCAGCGATTTGTCATAAAACGCTGCCAGGAGCAAAAACCCGGCCTTAAGATAGGCCGAGAGGCTCAGAAATCCTGCTTGTTTTAGAACATCCCATTTAGCCGTTAGCTCTGCAGCACACTGCGGGTTTTGTCTATCAGAGTGCTGCAGAGTTGTAAGGGATACAGAGTCTCTGAATTCTTCACTTTCCGTAGCGAGTTTAAGAATCATCCCCCAGTTTAGGGTGAATTTCGTGTCTTCGATCGAATCAGAATCGGCCATTATGATGAATCTAGTACTGAGGTAATGGAGACAGTTAACCAGTTTTTTCAACTCATGACAGATGTCCTGCATGGGAAAGTCTCCTGTTTTGTTGAAGTAAAATACTGGCGGGTACTCCAACTTCGACAGCTCGCTCTGACTGGCTGTTTTGATCCGTTCATCTGTATTGACCTAAGCCGCTGATCTCCGTACGAAACATGATTTCTCCCCTCAATTAGTCAAGGCTACTGCCAGATATTTCAAAATTTGAGATATCTTATGACCATTAATGACCATTAATGACCATTAATGACCATTAATGACCATTAATGACCATTAATGACCATTAATGACAATGTCAGTTTCGGAAAAATCTCAAATACTGACATTAATGGTCGTTGCATTACCCCCGGTAAGGTGGTTAGCCAGGAACTTGCACCCTTCTCTGCTGCTAGCTGTAACATAAGTTTAGATGTTTGTGGCAGAGACTCCTGAATTGCCTCCTGTCTTCTGGTGTAATACTCATAGCGATCTTTACTGATGGATGTCTTGATTTCATGGCTTTTATCCTTGTCTTCAAGATAGTTTACCTCTTGGCTTAGTATAGCTGTTTTTAGCAAAACTGTAGCTTTGACGATCAACGCTAAAAAGACACAATGCATGGCGATCAGCAAGTGTGCGTCCCAGCGACCTTACACCGAAAGAGACAGTATAAAGCTAACAGTGGAGGGAGAACCTGTTGAACAGGTCAGCAACTTTGTTTATCTCGGTGCCAACATCAGTGGGGATGGTACCATTGACCGAGATCTTGACATCAGGATCCAGCGTGCTAATGGTGCGTTCCATCAGCTTTGGAAGATATGGAACAGTCGAACTATAAGAACGCCCACCAAGATCCGTATCTACAAGGCTGCTGTTATTACTATTCTGTTATATGGAGCTGAAGTGTGGAACACAACAAAGAAGCAGATGAAACGGTTTGAGGTCTTCCATCTGACCTCCCTGAGAAGAATCTTGAAGATAAAGTGGTTCTTCCATGTCTCCAATGAAGAAGTTCTCAGGCGTGCTGGAATTAAGTCTATCGAAACTTTCATCGGTGCAGCTAGACTAAGGTGGTACGGACATGTTGTCAGAATGCCAGAGACGCGGTTCCCCAATTTCTTACTGGATTGGAAACCAAACTATGGAAAGAGACTGAGAGGACGACCCCGCAAAGGCTGGATGGCCTGTGTACTCGAGGATGCGGCTGAATTTACAGGTGTCGATAACATCAGCAGAGATGCAGTAAAACAGTTGGCTCTAAAGCGAGTGGAATGGAGGAACATGTTACGCGGTAGAAGAGATGTGTGTGATGCAGGCCACTCCAACGACTAGGAGAAGACCTCTTCATGTATGTATGTAGCTTTGACTGAATACAGGAACTCTGAGTTGGCCAGTTCTGTTATTATAGGGATACCCAGCCCTCCATACCTTGGTGGTAGAGAAAAGATCTCTCTAAGAGTGTCAGTGCAACTAAATGCTCTATCAAGGATTGCTGGAATGAACTCCTCTCTGATGGTAAGTTCGAGTGGTTGAAGTCTATCTGCTATCTCAGGTGTAGTCCTACACACATAGTTCCATCTTTTCGAAAGTCTGTTATGAATCGTTGTGACAAGGTAAACGCAAGACTAAAAGCTAAAAGCTAAACCAAAACCAAAACCAAAACCAAAACCAAAACCCAGGTAGTCATCCTGAATAGTATATCGGTTAATCATACAATAAATTACTAGAATATATAACATCCCGTTCAACTAAAAAGTGTTAAAAACAATATAGATTTAATAATTTAACTGAATTCGTAAAAAAATGTGATATAAATCAATCGTACAAAATTTAAAATGTTTGAAAACGTGGTCAAAATGAAATCTACAAAAGTGCGAAGTGAACTCACGTGAAAATGTTGAAACGTGTTGCGCTCGCTACACGATTCAAAACTTAGCGCATTCCGTTTAAAACAAAAAATAACGTGTTTCTCTTCAAAACATAAACGTGACAGGGAATATTTATAACTTTATGTTTGATCTGGATAATTTAACTGGATTAATGTGTGGTTAGATTTACACATTCAAAATAAAACAACTGTCATAAAATGTGATAATGAAACGTGTTTTATGTTCCTCCCAGTTTGCGGTAACTTAGCCTGTCTGGTGGTTTACTATCACGTGCAAAGTTTGCTGGCAGAAGCAAATTAGGTTTTTGCAATTCATGCTCTCTAACAATATTAGGTTTTATAGTGCTACGGTTAATTTCTATGGCAAGCTCACGTGGTTTAAGTACAGGTTGTGCAGTGATTATAGGTTCAACGGCTGCCTTATGGTTAGGCTCAGCGGGTAGATTTGGATTATTACCAACTATAATCGAAGTTTCCGGCTCTGTACTCTCAGGTAAGCTAGCTGTCTTCTCGAAATCACCATCAGTAGCTGTAGAACTCTGCCCATCTCTTATCTCCAGCTCAACTCTCGGTGTATCCGGATCTGTTTGTTGCAACGGTTCTGACACAACAGATCTCTTGATCACCTGGTCCAAATGCTTGCGGTAGACTCCATCAGGTGTCTTGATCAGTAGCACTTTGGTACCTTCCTTACCCTCGATAACACCGTTTCTCCAGCACTTCTTGTTCTCATCAAAGAACGATATAGTGTCATCAATCTTCAGATCACGAAGTTTCGATTCAGCAATCGTGTTCTGATCGTTTAAAGCAACTTTGGCAAACTTACTACTCGAACTCGGGTGTAGAAAACTCAAGGCGTTTCTTGTCCGTCGTTTCATCATCGCAACTGCAGGCTCTACTCCGGTAGTGGTGTGTGGTGTGTTGCGGTAGTTTAGTAGCCAGTCAGCCAGGTTACACATAACGTCAGGGTTTTTCAAGATCATCCGTTTCATAGCTCTTTTAAACAGTCCGACTGCAACTTCTGCTTGTCCATTACTTGCAGGTGAGTAAGCAGGAATAAGCACGTGTCGAATCTGGTTATTGTTCGTGAATACTTTAAACTCTTCTGAAGTTAGACTCGATCCATTGCCTGATACTAGTATCTTGGGTAGTCCCCAACGGCTAAAGATGTCTCGTAACTCTTGAATCACTCTCTTACTTGTAATGTTCGTCATTCTAACAACTTCTAACCATTTTGAATACGAACAGATAACTATCAGCCACATAGATCCAAGAAAGGGTCCACAGAAATCTAGATGAATCCGCTCCCAAGCCTCCATAGTTTTAGCCCATGGGTGTGGTGTAGATCTAGCGGGTTTCTTCTGGTTTAGTTGACATGGTTCACATAGTTTAACCATTTTCTCGATCTCAGCATCCATGTTTGGCCAATAAACATAGCCTCTCGCTAGTGCTTTGGTCTGTGAAATGCCCATGTGTGTTGCATGAAGCATTGAAAGCACGCTCTTTCTCATACTCTCTGGAATAACAACTCGAGATCCCCAGACAATACAGTTCTGGTCTACTGACAACTCGTTTCGACGTGTGTAAAACGGTTTCAGCTCGACATCAACAGGGGGTTTCTCGTTCCAGCCGTCTTTAACAAACTGTAACACTCGACCAAGTGTCTTGTCTCTTCTTGTGTGACTAGCTATTAACTCAGCGTCAATCAAAGGTTTGTCATCACCGAAGTAGTGCACGCTGAAAACAGTATCTAGAGGTTTCATTTCAAACTCCTCTGTTAACTCGTCATCAAACTCTCTCGTCTCTGCTGATGTGTCTAAAGGCAGTGGAAAACGGGAACATAGATCAGCATTACAATGTTTACCAGTGGGTCGAAACTGGATCTTGTAAGTGTAACCGCTTAGGAACAATGACCATCGTTGTAAACGACCTGCCACCATGCTAGGAATTCCACGACTAGGGTGAAAGATAGATTCCAGCGGCTTGTGGTCTGTAACTAGGGTAAACGGTCGTCCAAAAAGATAACGGTGCAGTCTCTTAGTCGCCCAAACTATTGCCAATGCTTCTTTTTCTATCATGGAATAGTTTCTCTCAGATTTCGTCAGTGTTCGAGATATATACTCGATCGGTCGCTCTGTCCCATTTTCATCAATATGTGACATAACAGCTCCTAAACCAACGGATGAAGCGTCCGTGTCAAGCTTTAACTCCAGCTCAGGGTTGTAGACTGTTAGAACCAAGTCAGACGATAACAGTGCTTTTAACTCATCAAAAGCTCTCTTTTCTCTATCTCCAAAGTGGAAAATACTGTCAGCGGGTCTTAAACGGTTAAGTGGTTCAACAACTGTTGACATGTTGGGAATAAAACGTGAATAGTACTGTGCACCACCAAGAAATGATATCATCTCCGCTCTAGTAGTAGGATACGGTGCTCTCACTATCGTTTCAACTTTCGAACTCAGCGGTCTTATCCCGTCAGCAGATACTTCATGGCCAAGAAATGTCACCTTAGGCTCCATGAAAACACACTTGTCTAGCCGGCATTTGTAGCCTTCTTTCTCTAGTGCTGTAATCACCGTTCTCACGTTCTTCATGTGACTCTCATCATCAGGTCCAGTTATTAGAATGTCGTCAACACGCCATGCTGTGTTCTCTGTCTTTCTCAAGGTATCATCAATCTTGCGTTCAAATATCGGTCCGGCAGATGAAATACCGAATGGTAGAGAAGTAGGACTGAACAATCCTTTGTGTGTGTTCAAAGTCACAATCTTTTGGTCACATTCTCTCAACTTCAAACTATTATAAGCGGCTCTGATATCCAGCTTAGTAAACAGTTTACCTCCGACAATCTTACTCAAGCAATCTTCTATCGTAGGAAGTGGGTAAATAGCTGTGTCAAGATTAGGATTTACGGTAGTCTTGTAGTCACCACATATGCAAATCGTACCATCCGCTTTCATGACAGGAACTATGGGTGAAGCCCAGTCTGAGTGCTCTGTTGGAATCAGCTGTCCATTCTTTACTAACTCGTCTATGGCTTTCCCAACCTTGTCTACGATGGCAAATGGGACCTGCCTTGCCTTGCAAAACTTTGCTCTCGCATCAGGCTTAAATTGTAGACAAGCTTCGAATCCTTTAACAGTTCCAACACCAGGATCGAACACAGGACTGCGGAGTATCTCACTAACAAATTCATCTCTCTGAAGCTTGGAGACAGCGTAAGATTGCTCAACATCAACAAGTCCTATCATATGATCCAACCAGTCTTTACCAAACATCTGGATGATCCACTCTCGACCTAGGACATTATAATTACAGAGGATCTGATATTTAGATATATATTGCTGTGCTGTAAAAATTGACTTTATTTATTTATTTATTTATCTCTCGACCTAGGAGTGTGGGAAACCGACAATCGACAACATATAGTGGTAATATCCATTTCTTGCCTCTAAATTCAACGTTAACAAGGGCCTTGCAGTCAATGCTTTCACAATTAAAATTAGCTACTTGCAATTTCTGGGAACATGGAACAATCTGGCAATCAGTTAGTCCTAGTCTAGCAAAATCAGACTTACTTATACAGCTTAAAGATGAACCAGTATCTAACTCCATTTTCAAAATCTTATCATTAATCTTAACTTTAAGAAATGGTTTCTGATTACAATCAATACAACTGGATAAATTACTAACAACTGATGCAGGAAGAGTACCATCGGGAACAGGAGTCTGTACTGGAATCTGGACAGGATCAGCCGTCTCCACGCAGTACAACGTGTTCTCCCACTCTTGGTGTGTGTACCCATAATCAGCAGCGCAAGCGTTGCCATCATCATGATCACCAATCCCTTCAACACAATGGGATTGCTTCTTAGCTGAACGACAGTTCTTCGCGATATGTCCGGGTTTGCGACAGTTTCTGCAACGAACTTTGCAGTTTTTCGCAACATGACCACGAACAGTACAACGTGAACAAACAATGCTAAGGTCGGCCTTCTGATGAAACTTAGAGTTTTGAGGTTTTTGAAACTTCCCGGGTTTTTGAACATAGTGTGTTGTGACTGACATTGAACTTTGCAGAGCGTTCTCCTTCGTCTGAGCTTTATCAAACAGGCTGGCAGACGTGTCGTTGGTAGCAGATTCTGATATGAGTTCAGCACGTATCCTATCAGAGGATAGTCCAGCCACAAAACGTGTACGCACCATTAAATCAAACAAATCACCGAACTGACAAACATTAGCAGCTTCCTTCAATCGTGACATAAAAGTACATAAGGATTCACCAGCAATCTGATTCAACGTCATAAACTTCTGCTGTTGAGCTACAATGTTTGTTTTGGGTGATAACCGATCAACAAGAGTTTTTCTCAGGGTAGCGTAGTCAGTGTCTTTAATTTCAGCTGGAAATGTAAATGCACGCAACTTCTTCAACGCGTCAGGCCCCAGATTGACTGTTAACAGTGTTCTCATGAGTTCTGCTTTTTTAGCAGTTTTCTCGTTTGCGTCATCTGGTAACTTATCTGCGTGTGCGAAAATGAACACAGAAGCGGCGTTTTCAAAGATTTCCAGCCACTCTCTGACACAATCAGTTTCCTTGGATAAGCGTAAGTTCGAAACCAGACTCGTCGCCATTGTTATGAATCGTTGTGACAAGGTAAACGCAAGACTAAAAGCTAAAAGCTAAACCAAAACCAAAACCAAAACCAAAACCAAAACCCAGGTAGTCATCCTGAATAGTATATCGGTTAATCATACAATAAATTACTAGAATATATAACAAAGTCCATATACAAATGCAGAGTATGCAACTTGAGGCTCTCTTGATGCAATTCCTGCTAATTGCTTCACGTCACGACACCATTCCTCCACTTTCTGGTCTATAAAGCTGTGATGCCCTTCTATTGACCCAATAAAACTGCCTAAATACCCTTTCCCAACCGTTGTGATGTTGACATCAGGAAACATCTCTTTCGCAGCTTGTTCAAAATCAGGCTTCACCACTATCCATGTCTTGGCAGGTTTTGGCTGGTATCCAAACCCTGGTCCATTGCGACACAACGTTTTCCACCATTTTTGCAGCCCAACTAACTTTCCTCCTGCAGCTGAGTCATCAGCATACCAAATCTGTTTGGCGCCTTCTATGTTGTGTGTAGAGTAGATTAAGGGCATAGTTCCACAAGCATAGAAACCCATGGCAGGTGGATCTCCTTGAGTAGTGCACTTAAGATCATCTCCTCTCCGCCAGATATAAATAACTCCGCAGGGGATCTGTAGATGTTCATTAGATATGTTGCAGCCTCTGGGCAAACCACATACATGTTATAAAGTGCTGCTTCTCTGTTCAACAAATTGAAAGCATTCTCAGCATCAACAAAGACCATTGCTTCTGTATCAGGGGTTTCAAAGAGCTCTCTGGCTGCATGGACTGCAGCCTCCACTCCTCCTTGAAGGCCCGCACAAACCTGAATAGGTGCTGTTGAGGTAGCAAAATCTTCTTGCAATGTCATCATAACTGATTTGCCAACAATTCTTCTGATAACCTCACCAATCCCTATAGGGCGCACCCCGGGCTTCTTATCCAGAGGCACCAGCCTACAAGCAGTGAAGGATTTCAGTAAATCAGGGTCAACATATCTGACACAAAGGACTCTCACCATGTTTGCAATAGCGCTACAAAGAGCATCTGACTTCTTCCCGAACTGCTTTGAACACAGAATCCGTTTCCACCCGTCAGAATCCAAGCCTGAAGGCCCTCCAGCACCCTGAACTTGCTTGGCTACATGCCTGATCCTGTCTCCGTCTATGCTATCAAAAATGACCGGTTCCACATGTCTAAATGGGCCATTAAGGCAACTGCCTTCTGGGGCTGGGGTGGCTTTCGGATGTTTCTCCTTGAGGACTTTAATAACTTCTGCTGTGGGGTTAAGCGCACATGTTGCTCTCTCTCCTATCCAGCGCATTGCCGCAGATACTTTTCCCTCCATCATCAGTCGAGTGAACACCTTTTCAATCTGTCCCTTCTCGTACTTCCTTCCTCCAATCCTCCTCTGGATTTCTCTACCTTCTCTCAGGAGTTCAGTCAACTTTCCCTCTTCCCTCATCTCATCGTAAATTTCCTCACACTTAATCTTCACTTCTTCACCTTTCCATGGACTTAACAAAAGGAGGGGGGAGATCTGTGAACTCTCGTAGTCAGGAAGTGAGCACTGAATAGCCGGAGCTTCAGCCATTACTTCTTGCTCATCAACTTCACTCCTTATCTCTTTAATCGCTGCCGTGAGTAGGTCGTCTTCTCTTTGGGTTCCTGTAACATCAGGGTCTCCTAGTTCCAGAAGGAACTGAGTTAACTGAGTACTATTTTCAGAAGTTGATTGTATATCAACACACTCGTTATCAAGGTCAGTACACAGAGAGGAACAAACAGGGCAGGTATCATTGGTCTCTCCGGAGATGTCAGTTGAGATCTGGCTGTCAGATGTAACTTCCCTTAGATTTTCAGGCTGAAGCAGAATGTCTAATGTACTGTCCGAGCTTGATCCACCTCTGATGTCAATTTCTGGTACCAGTGTGCCACCGAAAGGAACCAACTGAATACAGTCTACTTCATTGTTAGATTTAGATCTGGTTTTCATCATTTCCAACCCAAAAACGGGGACCACCACTGTTTTCCGAGTCGATTACCAGCAGGAGCTGTAGCAGTGGCGTAACGTTACTTTGTGCCGCCCCCCTGCTGATTGAAATTTGCCGCCCCTTTTCCGCCCCTAAAATTTTGTGTCCCTAAAAAAAAAAAAAAAAAAAAAAAAAAAGGTCGGGTACTTTTTTGCCGCCCCCTACACCTTTTTGCCGCCCCCTGAAGCAACAATGGTACCCCAAATATTTTTTTCACGTCGACCGAACGCTAAATTCGACAGGGTAGTACATAACACCAATAAGGCGCTTTTTCTGTGAAATCAGACCTAAAATCCAGGAAAATGCCGCCCCCCTAAGGTGCCGCCCCCCTGCTAGCAGGGTTAGCAGGGGCGGTTGTTACGCCACTGAGCTGTAGCTTACCGCTGACAGTCCCTACTGGATGCGGGTCTCCTTAACAGTAGTGGATCCGAATTTGGGATCTGATGGAGTAATCTCGACACCAGAGGGTTTTACAGAGTATTTCGTCAAACTTACAACTTTTGCTATTAAATATCAACAATCAGATATATACACATCTACTCCATCATAGGGGCAGGGATGAGGTTATAATGCAGCACACTACAATGTAAATATACTGAAGGGGTACCCTTTTTGATCTTTTGGCAGGGTCTCTCAATCACGTATCAGATCATTCAGCTGAATCAGTCGTTGAGACATTAAACAAATGTTCAATTTCGCATAGATCCAATGGATCCTTATTAACTACTCCCTCAATAAATGTAATAGATTTGTAGTGTTGTAATTAGTTTAAAACATAGTGGTTTTGTCCAACAATAATGTGACATTAAAAACTTGTGTCAAGATCTGACCTCCGATTGTTTAAAAATAACTCCTTTTCTCCTCGTAGACTATTTCGAAACTATAAAAGTGACATGATGACTGCCCCGCAAACATTTACTCACAAGTGTTAAATACGTTACACTGACAAAATTCAGTCGTGAAAATACGTTTAACTGTTTTAAATATATATTTAGGAAAGTTAATTTTTAAAAGGGGGACACCCAACTCATGTAGCTGAGACACCTCACAGCAAGTATACCAAAGTGGCTCTTGCTTGCGAAAGGTGTATTGACTACCCGCCGAAGTGGTAGGTTGGGAGTCTCCCCTGGGGTCATATCGTCCGTAAAATTTTACACAATATAAATCTACAATAAATTATCCATAAAATTTACATTTACCTCATAGCTCGTCTTCTGAGGTTTGAGGTATGAGATTGAAGGATACGTTATTCAGTCCAAGTGCATCCAGTTTGATGTGTATTTATAAATTGCTTCATTTTGCACTAAGTTGACGTGTTTCGACCAAAGTTAAACGTGGAATTGAGAAACTTTCGAGACACTTCACCTCGACAATTTATTAATTAACCATATATGCTATAGCTGTGTAAATATATGAAATACAAACAAATAGTATTAGTAACTTGTTACACCTTACCTGGGGACCCCAGGCTATTATGTTATTATTAAGCTTCACCTAACCATGTGCTTTTGTGCCACTGCGGGCGCGCTTGATTGACGATGTCAACCCATCGAGATCGTTGCTCTGCAAAGCAAGAATGGGTCAATGCGAAGCAAGAATAATAGTTCGCGCGGCGCGTCGAAGCGGCGAAGTCCTTCACAAGCGCAAGGGCTCTAAATAGAGCAAGCAACTTGCTTGTAGCGCGATGCACTACTGGGTCGCGCGCGCATCCAATAATGCTTCTCGCATCGGCGAGATGCGAAAATTGACATCGTCAATCAAGTAACTTGCTAAAATAAAAAATGATTTAAGCACATGTTTACGTCAATTATTTGACCATTGTTAATGGTCTGGCCCGGCGCGCGCTACTTCGTAGCACTTGCCGTTGGGCATTTCGAGAAGAAAGCGGCGTGCGCTACTTCGAAGAAATTTAGACGAGTAACATCCGTTAAGTAAATTATTACATATTACTAAAATTAATTTACTTTTTGTTTTAATACAATTTCATTGTACATGTCACATAATTGGGTAGTTGAATGAAACTTGTGATACAGTGAAATCGAAACAAATTTTTTCTTTATCGCAGATGCGCGCGCTCAATTATGATCAGCGCGTGTGCGGTTTTTGGAATTTCACGCTATTGCAATGATTAATTGTTAATGCTTATACTGCGCAAGCGTCCGAAATTTTCACAAAAATTATTTTGCTTTGCATGCTTCTGAAATTTTGGTGTTGGTAATTAATAAATGTAACATGTTATTGTAAGCTGACAATTAAATCAACCCTCATGCGCGCGGCACTTACTGTTTTGGCGGCACCTAAAGATTACTCACCAATGTGTGGCTGTGTTGTTCACATAGCCATGTGTCTACGCGTACTGCGTGACGCGCTTCGGCGGTCGCGCGCTACTGCAAGCGAGAAGGCTGATCTGGTTAGAGCAAGCTGTGTTGCGCGCGGTGGGATGTGCCTATTATATATTATATGGTCGAATTTTCAACTTTGATGTTATTTATATGTTATAAATATAACATAATATGTATTGATCGTTTTGTGGTGAATACAAATTTTGAAAGGGCTTTCTGTGGGATATAAACTGCACATTTAAATATTAAGGAGAAAATCTTTAAATTATGTTAATATAGTTAATATGTTTTGTTAATTTTTAAACGTCATTCGCTCTACTAAGAGCCCTGATCTTGGGATATAATTTGCGTGTGCTGTGGCGCCTGCTGCAAAGTCTGAACATTTTACTTCTCACAGAGTTTCTGGACAGGATGACTGTGAAACTCCCATTAATGTACATGAATCGCATGTGCTTGTTCATGTTATTTGACGGACCAACGTTAATGTGGCTTTTGCTATGTGTTGGTTAAGCCGAATTAATTATTATGTAATCAAGTTTATTTTTCTCTTTTTTTTATTGAAATCTTTCAAATCAGTCAATTACATACAAGTTTACACAATGAATTAGTTAAATATAATATTGTCCTCTAAGCATGGATTGTCAAAGTTGAAATTGTCTCGGACAAAATGTATGTAACCAAAGGACCTGAGGGTCACCAAAACACAGATATTGAGTGCAAATGCAGCTCCTGCACAAGCATGGGCCCTTATAAAATTGTAATAAGTTACTTTAAACAAAATCACACACCCATTCAATCAATTCATAAAATATTGTGCTGTGAGATGAAATTGAGAAATATGTGAATGCAGACAGCAAGAATAGATAATCTTGAATAAACTATTTTACGGATTTGTTTCTATTGAATAGTCAAGTTCAGAGTCCGAATCCACCGGGATAATTTTCCCCCACATGTAAGTGGAAAGTTTACTTTTAAAATCAGTGATACTCTCTATCTCACGGATATCTAGAGGAATGTGATTCCACTTAGTGTGGGTCCTATAGAAGAAATTCTTGGCAAAAGCGTTGGAGCTTGCTCGAGGTGAGATAGAGCTTACAAAACATAGAGAGTCCATGTGACTATTTCTGAGCCTTGAGTGGCCTTGAAATGGTTGCAAATATGAGGGTAAAGTGACAGGTATATGTTGCTTCACAATTTTAAAGAAGAAGATGAGATCCAAGAAGTCAAAGCGGTCTTCAATCGGCATAATCTTCAGCTGTCTGCATTTTTGAATGTATGTGGATGGTGGATAACTCATATACTCCTCGTGAAGAATCCACTTAATAGCACGCTTTTGGAGGCCCTCCAGCTTGCTTATCTGGGATTTTGTGACTGGTCTCCATATAACCGAGCAATGCTCAAATAGGCTCCTCACTAAAGTGAGATACAGTACTCTACGACGATTTACGTCTTGGACAAAATAACAATTTCTTCTCGCCATGCCTAATTTTTGGTTTGCCTTAGAAAGGACTTTGGAGCACTGATCTTTCCAATCGAGATTTGATGTCACAATTACACCCAGATCCTTTTCATGATCAACATAGTCAAGTGTGATTCTTCCCATGGAGTATACAAAGTTAAAGAGTGGTAGGACACTAAGGAGGGAAACTGTTTCGGATATCCTTCCTGCGACGGTGAGGACCTTACATTTGTCGGGATGAAATCTCATTTTATTAGAAAGTGACCAGTCATGGAGATAATCAATGTCCTTCTGCAGTCGCAGGATATCAGACTCCGAAACAATCTTACGCCAAATTTTAGTATCATCGGCATACAGTGACAGTTGTGTGCCTGGTGAAATCCCCACTGATATATCATCAATGAACATAATGAACAGCAATGGTCCCAAAATTGACCCTTGAGGTACACCAGACTGGGCGTTTCTCATAGAAGAAAACTTGCCACTTATCAAGACCTGTTGTTGCCTGTCTCTTAGATAATCAGTGATGAATTTCAGTAGCCTCCCATCAATACCAAATTTGCTCTTTAGCTTAAATAATATAAGATCATGGTTAACCGAGTCAAATGCTTTGGCAAAATCAAAGTAGACTACATCTGTTCTCATATTTTCATTCAGTGAGAGCGCTAGGCTGTCGCACAGTCCTACAAGATTAGTTGCACAAGATCTCTCAGCTCGGAAACCATGCTGTTTGTCATTGATCATGCCATTAGTAAGTGCCAATAACTCATCTCTTATTATGCGTTCAAGAACTTTTGTGATTAAGCATGTAAGAGAAATTGGCCTATAATTTGAAACCTCATGTTTATCCCCTTTCTTGAATATTGGTACAATGTGCCCCAGTTTCCACTCCCTTGGTAGTGTCCCAATGTTGTAGCATGAATGAAAAAGTATTGATATAGGGTATGCGAGCCCAACCGCACAGTTTTTCAAAAGTTTCCCATGGATACCATCAGGTCCATAAGCTTTATTAGCATTAATATTGGAAAGGATTTTGCTAACCCTTCTGTGGTCAAATTCAATATCAAAGCGCCAATCATTAGAGTAATCTATATCTATGTCATAAGTTGATGCCTCAGAGAACTGCTCGAAGAAAAAGTCATTAAATAGGTTGGCCTGGTCTTCAGGGCAGTTGCGGACAGTGCCTTTGTGGCTTACAAACTCGGGGATCCGCTGACTAGCTGTCTTCGATTTGACATAGGACCAAAATTTTTTTGTTATTAAAGCACTATCATCAGATTCATTTAATGTTTCCCTCATTTTTTGAGCAACCACATTTTTGAAATTTTTCCTAGCAAGGGAGAATGCAATTTCAGCTCTATCACTTTTATGCCTTTCTTTATGTAATCTCACTTTCTTGCGCCATGCATCATAACACTCCGAGTCAAACCATGGATCTTGGCCATCAGTCTTGACAGAGCATTTTTTAACAAATTTATCTGTGACATTAAAAAGTTTGTCCTTAAATTTTTTCCATCCAATTTCAGGTTCTGTGCCATTGAGCAATGCATCCCAATTCGTGTGTCGGAGTTCATGGTTTAGCCTCTCCCAGTTCACAGTCTTAAAGTTATAGCACATACGCCTGACTGGCTTCCTCCTACCAACTTTAACGTTGATCTTAAAATTGATGGGGAAGTGGTCAGACTTGCAAGCACTATCTCTCTCACCTACCATTAGGTCATTAATATTTGACACAGAGTTTGTGAGCAATAGGTCAAGTGTTTTGCCTTTGCAGTGGGTAGGTGTTAACACACATTGTTGAAGGCCTAGATCAACAAAAGATTCAACAAAAGATTGCTTAATAGGACAGGAGCTGGCCAGGGTAGACCAGGAAACTCCGGTCAGGTTAAAATCTCCTAGTATGAAGACTTTACTCAGTCCTCTTCTTCTGAGAAGAGTTTTCAAAGACTCAACAATTTT